TAAGATGGCAGTCAGATGGAAAATTCCCATGAAACCGTCACACCTGGACAGTCTCTATCCCCATATCTTACCATGACTTCTCTTTCCTCCTGCTGCATCATATTTATTTTCAGATGCTATACTTTCAAACAAGAACTGTCCTCACCAAGGCATCTCACAAACACAGGTACAGGAGACAATGCTTCAAACCTTTATAATATAAAAGCCAGTCATCCCATAGAACATGAAACACATAAAAAATAGCAAAAATTGAGCAATGTTGTTCGTAATTGAAGACATCCCAGAACCTTGAATGAAGGCTGGCTCCTGCTGATTTCATTTCCCCCACCTGCCTGATATCAAAAGAAACATGAAAATTTAGTTGGACTTTCGAAAAATACTAACCATAAATGAAACAGAATGCAATGAATTAATGTCATCCAGATTCCACAATGAATTCAGCAGAAACATAAATCAACTTCATGATAGAATGTTTCCAACATTCACTACCCATGCTATAATAGTATTGATCTAGTCTTTTTTATTATTAAAGGAGGGTAAATATAAAGTACATAAAAAAGCTAATGATCTAGCACAGGGATGTGCAACCCGCAGCCCGCATGTGGCCCGTGGACCTGCTACTTGCGGCCCGGTAATACATAATGGGATAACAGATCTTTTTTTGTGGCCGAAGGCCCATCACAACTTTGGTCATCCCTTAGTAACATGACTGAGTCCTTTCACTTCCTTCTAAATTTTCTTCGGGTGGGCGGTGCTACAAATGTCCCAGGGAAGAAGGTTCTCAATGCCAAAGGCTATTTTCAAACATTGGAATTTCTCATTGGTGGAGAGGAGGTAAGGATCATCGGCCAATTAGCGCAACCTTATGCCCTAATATGCCCTGTGGACAAAAGAGGGGAGCCTTATCTTTTGCATTCTGTGGCTTGCGTCAAGGGTCACGCATTTCCATGCGGCCCACTGCTGATAAAGGTTGCACACCCCTGATCTAGCATATCATTTTCAGGAAGGATATGCTCCTATCATTATTCACTCTGAATCCTAGGGGCGTGACAGGACAGAATCAGCTACATGTATAAACTCACACCAAGAATACCTCAAAAGAATTGTGTCATTTCATCTGAAAGAGAGTTAGCTTCAATCTTAACATTGAGAATTTCTGTAAGATACTTCTCAGTATGAAACAATGCAATAAAGCATTTTCTAATATTTCTTCTTATTCTTAGTTGCTTTCAGAAGGGAAGGGCCCATTATACATACAGCATCATTATTGATACCAGGGTGATTCATAACTAGCTTGGTCACAAAGTGTTTATGTCAAGCACACATGCCTCGAATTTTATCTTTCCATATCACAATAACTTATGGTGCCAATGCCTAAACGTCAAGTAGAACTCTTCACAGCCTTTAAATATTGGACAAATGGATAGATGAAGAGTCTTACCATGGCGTTTATAGTAGTAGTGTCTCCTCAAATGATGAACACGTTGATTCCAGGCTCCTTTAGGGTCAGTTTGTTTTCCAGAGTCATTCACCTGGCCTGTTAAGGAAAGATTGGTGTAAAAAAGAAATTCACTTGAATTGAGCATTCTCGGCAAAATGGGTGCTATGGCAAAGACTTATTTACAAGATATCATTAAAAAAATGCTAACCAAAGTCACTGTTTCCCTTGTTAGGACAATTTGAGGCCCAATGGCCCTTTTTGGAACATGAGAAACAAGTGGAATTTTTCATGCGTTCTTCCAAGGCACTCAGCTTGGTCTTGGGCTCCTTCGGGTCGTTCTCCGCTGTGGCTTCTGAGGCTGATGTGGTTCCGCTCTCTGTGTTTTGCTGCTTCACTCGCTGTTTCCATTGTTTGTACTTCATATTCCTCACATTCACTTTCTTCTTTCCTCGTGAAAACTTCTTTTGTTTCATGTTCAAGGAAATATAGTTTTCATTTGGGTTACGGCTGCTCTTTGCCCTGGAAATAAAAACATAGACATTGAAAGAATTCCCCATGATTGGATGCAAGTTATTCAATATCAGATTTTGCAGTTTCGTTTGTTGCCTGCATTAGCAGAACCGACTTCAGAGAGCTAAGATGAATAAAGCTGCAAATTTGAATATTAAAAATAAGGGGGATTTTTCTGGTAAATCTAACTACAAGTACTGGTACCAATGATTTTATTCCTTCATGAATCACTTCTCTTGATTCCTGCAAAATCCATCCATGGAGATTGAAAGAAAATGGATATGAAATAAATGTTGGATGAGAATTTTAGTTATCTGTGGCATGCAAATCCCTTCATGATAGGTTACTACTCCCAAGCCTGTGAACCTAGGCCTATTTCCTCTTAGGACATCTGATGCTTGTAATCTTCAGCCCCACACAAATCTTAACCCTTTCCCTGGCAGGGATATCCAAAAGTTTCGAGGATGTCGACATAATATTGCATCAATGCCAGGGAAAGGGTTAAGAATATGCACACAAAATAACTGCAAATAAGATCATTCCTTTATCCAGAGCTGTCAAGCTGGTTGCCTGTGGGGTGGAATTGGCCTGCAAAGTCCACTTGATCAGTTGACTTCAGAAAAATTTTCCAAATTCAACAAGTTCACATAAAAAACTTGACATGAGATTTGCTAGAGAGGTTCACTGCATTGAAGGATTCAATGTAGCCCCTGGCCTAATAAAGTTCAAAACCCCTGCCTTAATCTGTATTTTCCCATACCGCTTTAAATTCCTCATCTTCACTGGTTTTTTTTGTAACCACAACTAATAGTAATTGGCCCCATTATGATCTCATCCCCATTAGCCAGAGCTGGTGCCAATGCTGGAAAACCTATTATTGCTGGTGAATATAGAAGAGATGCTATCATACAAAAGATATACTGTAAAAGGAATTTAAAAAGTCAAGCACCACCAGTGGCGGCTCGTGATGTTTAGCACTAGTGGTTTGTCTATGGAGAGGGGGTAGGCAGTGCCCTCCCCTGCCTACCTCCATAGACAAATCCTTTTCAGTTCTAAATGGCAAAAACATACACTGCCAACTAGAATTTCAGATTTGTAAAGTTGTGCAAGCAGCACAATCAATGGGGGTGAAATAAGAAAAAAAAA